TGAGAAACTTGTTTTGTCATAATTTTGCATCATATAAAAAGTTGTATACTTATAACTTAAACGATTGACATTAAAAAAAGATGCTACCTACTACATTATCGTGAGCATAACAAAATAAGTTAAAAGCTAAAAATATTATGAATATTTATAAAAAAAATTGAAAATATCAATATTTGTGGAAAAGTTTTGATTCTTTGCAGCCTTCTTATTTTTTATGTTTTTCTTTAAATTCAAAAGTATTGATACTTGTGAAAAAGTATCCATAATTTCGAATAAAAAAACATAGAAATGATATTTTAACTTTCGAATTTAAAAATATCGATATTTATGGAAAATAATCGATACTTTGTAGCCTTCTCATTTTCCATTTTTTTTAATTTTAAAGTATCAATACTTGTGGAAAAGTATCCATATATTCAAATTTTTTATAATACAAATATTAAAATTCCAGATCGCAACCTAATTTCTTAGTGAATCATGACATTTTTTGGGTGAAACTCATTTTATTAATAAAAATATTAACATTCCAGATCATAACATATTTCTTAGTGAACCGTGACATTTTTAGGCACAACTGTATTTCTTATATATATATTCATAACATTTTGAATTTTTAATTTATCTTCTTATCATGAGATTGTCCAGGTTCCCATCAGTTTAAACTCTGGTAACATCTTAAGCGACCCCTAAAATGTTAATAATATTCATAACATTTATTTTTTATAACTCATTTTCTTACCGTTTATAACATTTTAAGTGTAACCTGTTATGTTACTACATTGATAACTTTTCTGGTTCCGTTTTATAATATTTTGTGATCTGCTTTTAACCTGTAAGATAGGTTTCTTGGTTACACCATTTTAAGTTATTTTAAAATATTTACAACCCAATATATTACATATAAGTTAACATTTCCAATCGCGCTAAATCGATTTTGTTAGGATTTTTTCAAATGTTTCAGTTGTACTATTTTTAGCTCTTTTAAAATAAAGGATAGATACGGGAGCGAAAATAGAGATAGGTGTATCAATTTTTATTTTTCTTTCTTCAATTTTATGAGTACATGAACCCCACTTATATGTAGGGTGAGGAATCATCTCTAATAATTATAATACATATGAAGAGTTTAGTACTTTGGCATTTCATATTCTCAATTCATTGAAGAATACTAAAAACCGCATTAACTAATAGGAGTAATAATGGTATACACAATACATTCATAACACACGCCCTTGGATGCCCATTATCTAATTGTGCCTCGTTAAAACTTTATTAGGAAAAACCGAGTGGGACAAAAACCTAGTAAAAGAATACATAATTATATGCTTAACATGCTTTCTCATTAAAAAAAACCTTACCTGGAAAACCCAAAGGGATAAAACAAAGGTTAAGGGGAAAAGAGAACATCGCGCATTTACTCCCCTAATGGCTACATCACTTGAGATCTCTAAGGTGACGTATTCTAATGTATTGTGCTAACTTCTAAAACACAGATGTTCAAAGTGTCTTAGTGAATAAATCTACCAAATTCTCACATAAATTGATCTGATTAACCTTTATCTCTTTAAGCTTCTGAAGTTCATGAGTGAAGAGGAATTTAAGTGCAATATGTTTTGTTCTATCACATTTGATGTACCAACTCTCGAGTTGTTCAATGCATGTTGTATTATCTTCAAACAATATAGTAGTAACTTCTTTTCCAGATGATAAACCAGTTATTTCATATGTGCTGAATCATAGATCTTAGCCATATAGATTCACGACTAGCTTAATGGATTGATAAGATTTCTGCATGATTACAAGAAGTTACTACAATCGTTTTCTTCATGGAGTGCCAAGAGATTGTTGTACCAACATGTGTAAAAACATATCCAGTCTATGATTTACCATTCTGAGTATCAAACATAAATCCTACATCTGCAAAACCAATCAACTTTGTATTGTATTTATTATGGAAAAATAGACTCATTTGTTTTGTGCCTTTGAGATAACAAAATATTTGCTTAACTCAAGTCCAATGTCTTCGAGTTGGACATGAGCTAAATCTTGCCAGCAAATTTACAGAAAATGATATCTACGGTCGGGTATGACTAGGAAGATACATCAATTCCCCAATTGCACTCAAGTATGATACTTCGTAAGCAAGAAAAACTTCATCATCTTGCCAAGGACGGAAAGAATCTTTACTCAATTCAAGTTCTCTTATAACCATTAGGGTAGTCACTACATGTGTCTTATCCATATAAAATTGCTTTAACACCTTTTCTATATATGTTGATTGATGCACAAGGATTCCATCTCTTAGGTACTCAATTTGTAACCCCCAAAAAAATCATTTTCCAAGGTCTTTCATCTTGAATTCTTTCTTCAAACAATCAACTATAATTTGAATCTCTTCAAGGGTCCCAATGATAATTAAATCGTCAACATATACTACAATAATAACATATCCAATTCCATACTTCTTAATAAAATTGCATGGGCAAATTAGATCATTCTTATAACCCTTTTTTAACAAAAAAATCGCTTAGGAAATTATACCTCGTGCATCCGAATTATTTCAGTCCATAGAGGAATCTATTCAATTTGTTTGGATAATGTTCTCGAGAACCTGAATTAACTGCTTCTGTCATTTTAAATTCTTTAGGGAGTTTCATATAAATGTTAGTATCCAATGGACCATATAAATAAGTTGTTAATATATCCATTAGGCATAAATCAAGTCCTTCTCTTATAGCTAGACTTATAAAAAATCTAAATGTAGTTGCATCCACCATAGGAGAATATGTATCCTCATAATCAATTACAGGTCGTTGTGTTAATCCTTGTGCAACCAAACGTCTTTATATTTCACAATTTCTCCTTTTTCATTTCTTTTACGCACAAAGACCCATTTGTATTCCATTCATTTCACACCTGCAAGTGTACGAATTATTGGACATACACGTCTTTTTTTCATTAGCAATTTCAATTTAGCTTCAATTGTTTCTTTCCATTTTTTCAGTCATCTCTTTGTCAACATTCCTCAATTTATTTTGGTTCATGATCCTCTTTGTCATTCATAATATCTAGTGCTGCATTGCATGCAAAAATATAATCAAAGTCAATTTTATTTCGGTTCCATTCAATACCAAATATGACAATCAATAGAGATCTTTTCGTTTTCAGGTAATTGAGTTTCTTATGAAACTATTTTCCCAGTAATGTCTAAATTCTCTTATAGAGATATTAGTAAAACCATTGTTTTCTCGATTTGACTATCATTATCCTTTGCTCCTTTTCTTTTTTGAGGATTCTTATCTTTGGAACCAATTGGTCTACCATGCTTCAAGTGTGCATTAGATCCATTAGTAACTAGAATTTTTTCTTCTGTGACGTCAAGTTTTATTAGAGCATTCACAGCTGGTGTATGTGACTTAGTCACTCTCTTTGGGTCAGTAAATGCGTCTGACATTTCATTAGCTAAACTTTGTAAATGAATAATCTTTTGAAATTCTAATTCACATTTCTTAGTACGAGGATCAAGATGAGACAATGATAATTATTTCCAATTAATTTTCTTTACCAGTTGTTTGATCTCTCCCCCTAATGCTGGAAAAATTGACTCATCAAAATGACAATCCTCAAAATGAGTAGTAAATAAATCCCAAATAAATGGTTCTAGATATTTAATTATCAATGGGGATTCAAATCCAACATATATATCCAACCTTCTTTGAGGACCCATCATAGTTCTGTGTGCTGGAGCTATTGGAACATATACAACATATCCAAAAGTTCTTAGATGGGATATATTTGGTTCCTGACCATGAAACATTTGTAATGGGGAGATTTTATGATAACTTGTTGGCCTGATATGAATTAATGTCGCTGTATGTACAATTGCATGTCCCTAAGCAATGATTGGGAGTTTAGACATTATGAGTAATGGTCTTGCTATCAATTAAAGTCCCTTAATTAAAGATTCTGTTAGACCATTGTGTGTATGAACATGAGCTACATGATGTTCAACACTTACTCCAATGGACATGTAATAGTCATTAAAAGACTAAGGAGTAAATTCTCCAATATTTTCAAAATGAATTGTCTTAATAGAAAAATCTAGAAAATGGGCTCGCAATTGAATCAATTGAACAATTAACCTCACATATGCTAGATTGTGAGTTGATAACAAAGATACATGGGACAATTGTATCGGTCGGCATATATCCCCTTGAATTAGTTCCAGAAAAGTTATTAATTCAAAATTTATCTTAGTAGATGATGTCCTAATTATCAACTTGCCTAGAAAACATGCGACGCATGAAAATTATTTTGAAGAATCTGTAGCTCTTCAATGAATGTCCACATGAACTTTCGATTATTTTTTGCATCATAATTGAACTGAGATGGCCTAACCGGTCATGCCAAACAATAAAGTTGTCAATAAACTTCTGGTTTACTATAGAATGTGTTTCTATTGAATTGATCTTTGTGTAGTACAAACCAATAGAGAATGTAGGCAACTTCTCGAGAACTTGTTTATTGCCTTAAGTAATTCTCATAATTTGAAGAAATTCATGATTTCCTTCACTTATATTCTCAATATGATATTCATTTTGATTTCTGTGAGACTTATGGGAATATAACGCATAAATGATTTCAAACTTTGTTCCCCTTGTCAATATTATATTTTCTCTTCCAGAGCCTTCTACAATGTTTGTAATACCATATATAGTTCTCACACTTTCTATCTTTATTATTAAGTGAAAAAAAATATCTCTTATCTTTAAGTATGGTGTGAGTAGTTGCATAATCTACTAAGCATAAATCTTCATCATTTAATTCTAATTTCCTTTGAGAGGTATTCATAATTTTCTTCAAAGAAAAAAAATAGTCATAAAACAATTATAACGTCCAAAACATATATACAAATCCAAATAGCTAAAATATCCAACAATAAAATGTCTCATAAAAGTAATAATAAATTATCCCTCAAAACATAAAACATACAATAAATTTCATAAATTATAACTTAGATAATTGTCCTTCTGTTTTAGTGACTGCTGATAAAGATCAACTAGATGATTTTGATTACGACACAAACGTGACCAATGACCTTTTCCTCCACAACGATAATATTTATTGGTCACATTGTTTTCCTTTTCTTTCTCATGCTTGCTTTCATCTTTACAATCCCACTTCTGGTGTGAATATGAGTTTCTAAACTGACCATCTTGACCATATCCATATCCACGTTCGCGACCATAACCACGACCACGTTTGCGTCTATTACCACTGCCATTGGCATGGTTTATTTCTTTAAATTCTTTCTCATTTTTAGTTGTCACATTCACTTCAGGGAATGGAGCAGAACCAGTTGGGCGTAATTCATGATTTTTCATTAGTAGTTCATTGATTTGATCAGCCATTACGAGACAATAAATTAATTCATAATATTATTTGAATCCTTTTTCATGATATTGTGTTTGCAGGACAATATTATTTGCGTGGAAAGTGGAGTATGTTTTTCTAACATTTTTGCATAAGTAATTTTCTCTCCACATAAATTCAACTATGAAGTGATTCTAAACATGACGAGTTATAATCACTAACAGATTTAAAATCTTGTAATCATAAATTCAACCAATCATAACAAGCTTTAGCTAAATTATAGTTTTATGGTGGTCATACATTTCCTTTAGATTGATATAAAGGATTGGAGGGTCTTAATAGTCAAGTACTCAGTCTAAGACCTCATGAAGGTGATCTCGAAGGAATATCATGGCAACCTTATATTGAGTTGTTGCTTTATTTCTTTCCTTAAGGGTTATAATCACTAACAGATTTAAAATCTTGTAATCATAAATTCAACCAATCATAACAAGCTTTAGCTAAATTATAGTTTTATGGTGGTCATACATTTCCTTTAGATTGATATAAAGGATTGGAGGGTCTTTAATAGTCAAGTACTCAGTCTTAAGACCTTCATGAAGGTGATCTCGAAGGAATATCATGGCTTTAACCTTATATTGAGTTGTTGCTTTATTTCTTTCCTTAATGGTCTCATCAAGACCCTTTGCATCCAAGTGAATTTCAACATCTAGTACCCACGATAAATAGTTCTTTCTAGTGGTGTCCAAGGCCATAAATTCAAGCTTTGTAAGATTTGACATGATCACTATTATAATTAAAAATAAATCAATTGGGTGAATGTCGCTTACTCATATACATACTAAAAATTATTATAAACATGAGAACAAAATCTTAAAAAAATGAATAAAGTATAATTAAAATGACAAGGCATGGATAAACTCTAATCCTGATGGTCGATGATAAGAAAGTCAAACAACAAAACATGTTTTACAAGATAAACTAATATATACGAGATATCTAGATTAAATCACTATTACAAACAATAGACTAGTATATCATAACAAATCATGCAAAGTCATAAATCTCTTTACAAAGTAAGTGTCTCTTAAATAGTAAATCTCAATGAAAGAAGTCATGTCACATGTCCTTTTAACAATGATAGTATATTATACCTTAATAGATGCTAGATTATGGAGATCTACATACCTGAGTGAAATTGATAACGTTGGGTTCACTTTTATTCAGTCTTGCTCAACAATATTTTTGGATCATTTGCTTTGTTCCTTCAAACGATTTGCTAGGTTGCTTGAATAATCCCTTTAGTAGAGCGTAGTGTTGATAACGTCTTTTAAAATAAAGGAGAGATATGAGAGAGAAAATAGAGATAGATGTATCTATTCTTATTTTTCTTTCTTCAAATTTATGAATACATGAACCCCACATATATATATATATAGGGGTGAAGAATGCTCTCTAATAATTATAATACATATGAAGAGTCAAATCCTTTGAAATTTCATATTCTCAATTCATTAAAGAATACTAAAAACCACATTAACTAATAGGAGTAATAATGGCATCCACATAATATATTCATAACATTAGCCTTATATTAGTTTATTTTTCCTTAGACAATCTCATATATGTGTGTATACATATAATTATAAATCATCAATATCATTGATTCAATGATTGAGTATTGTGTCGTGAATGACTTCTCAAGCTAGACCATTATCAATTAAAAAGAAAAAGGTCACACCATACAACGTAGGAAAAGAAAAAAGAGATTTTAGGTTTGAAATTGAGAAAGGAAAAAAAGTAAACTTTTTATGGTGAAGCAAAGCCATGGCGCTCTCTACATCTTTGAATTCGCTTGCCAGAATCCTTGATGCCTCTCTTAAATTCCCAATAATATTCAACCTCCTGAAAGTTGCTCCATTGAAATCCAACCTCAAAATCAACCCCATTTTGAAACCTCTTCCCACTCATCCTAACACCTACAAACCGATGTGGGTGACTCGATCCGATCCAATGTGTCACATTAGGGTCACCTAAGCGACCCACCGTAAAATTCATGGAAAAAATAAAATTTCTATTAAAGCGTGTAATATCATAAAACAACAATATATATATATAGTAAAAGTAGAATTTAACAATATCCAAAAATAAAAACAGAATTTAGATTCAGATATAAAAATAGAATACAACATACATGCCCCATAATCACATGCACCGTACTCCGCAAGCAACGCCGGTGGAACTCCTTTACTGATGTCGATATCTACACTAGTTTGATTCTTTTAACCTAAAATGGTGAGTAAAAGAGTGAGCTTTGGGAAGCTCATAAATACAGAACTACCAAGTGATGATGAATGACATACATATAAATGGAAAAACATAAATTTTCCTTGTTGATTCAGACATTTACAAATTTTCGTGAGGAGCTGAAGTTCCATTGATATTTCCTCAAGTAAAAGATAGGAAAATTTCAGTTCAAAGGAAACATTTAGAGTACCAAGTTTTCAGGAGATTGGAATAGGATGTCTAGTGTGTTCCAACCAAAACCATGTGAAAAGATACAAATCTTTTTTAAAACAGTAACAGATTAAAACATATATTTAAAAACATAGTAGAACCCTCTAATCGAACACCTTTATGCAGTTCCTCAGAACTGCATCCATAAGGACTTACCCTGAGTACACAGCAAATGAGCCACCCTAAGGGAATGCCTTGGGGCCTATGACCCTACCCATGGGTCTCCATAGGTCCGTAAGGATTTACCAACTTGATCAAAACTGAACCTCCATACTCCATAATCCTACCCATACATTATCCAGTGGAAATCATATTTAACAGTAAATAATAATATCAAAATCGTGATCCAGTAAAATCTCATAAGTGTGACAATAAAATAAACCATATAACTGCCTCCACCTGTACACTATATGCAGTCCCATGATTTACCCAAGGGAGTGCCTTAGTGCCTGAAAGCCTACCCAAGAAAGTTTCTTGGGGACTCGGAGCCTACCCAAGGGTCACCTAAGGTCTGTAAGGATTTACCAACTTAATCAGAGCTGAACCTCCATACTCCAACCTACCCAGATAATGTCCCAATAAAACAGTTCAAGTAGTAACCAATATATTTCATGATCCATAAATTAGGAATAATCATATTTCCAGTGAAACAAGAAACCATATAACATATTTCAGGTAACCATAGTTCATAACCCAGTAGATTCCATGATTTATAAATTAGGAACGCTTATATTTTCAGGTTAAAACAAGAAATCAGAGAACACATATCATATGTTCATAGTTCATTAACAGTAAATTAAAACATAAGTGAATCCGTAATTTCGGAAAATCATGTTTTAAAACATGTAAACAATTACATGTCACATAGGGAACACACTAGAGGATCTAGTTATTCTTCGGAGGTACTTGGTATTTAACATATAGGGAACCATGAAACTTTTGTAAATTGATAGGATTTTAGAATCAATATCCCTATAAAAAGAGGTTTGATAACTAATGGATTCATTAGTCATTCGGTTATTTTTTGGAGGCAATTGATCGATACAAAGAAGGATAAACATATAACTTCTGTAGATTTGAAGAATTCATATTCGAGGCCCCTATTAAAAAGGTTCGTTCATTAGCATATCTAGTCAACATTTGAAAATTGATGTTTCAATAATCATTTAAGATTCAAGTGTATTAAAAAGGTACTCAGGAACCTTTACATTATAATTTTTGAAGATCTAGATATAACATGATTGTTCCATTATTCAGGCAAATAGGGATAATTCAGACATTTGAATTTCTGATGGATTCTTAGTGTCTTAAACCAATAAGGGTGAAATGATGATTCTTGGTATTTAAGTTCATGTCGATTTATCAGTATATCGAGTCATATTGAACTGAACAAATCCCAGCACTGTGATATATGTCAACTAATCAAATCGATGTGCTTCAAGGATCTTTACACTTTAATATTGACAACTCTTGTAGAACTGATCATTTTTCAGAATCATCGTTGAATGGATCTTAGGGAGACGAACATGTATTCCAATTGTATTTATTTTATTTCTATATTGCAACGATTTTACGAAATGTCGACATGATGGATTCGTGATTCAAAACCCTTATAGACGGTACAACATATAAGTTCACCAGCGTATCTAGACTTATACAAGTCATTCGCTTAATTCTATGTCATTAAGGTTTCTTAGGTCATTTAGTAGTCATGTTTATCCCGGTCACTTCTGAGTTTCCAGAGTGATTAGATCGTTTCAACGATTCAAATACATACAATACTTCCATTCAGTTCAACCTTGTCATATAATATAATCGTTTTACACTTCAAGGGTATTTTGGTTATTTTACACTCCAGGGGCAATTTTGTAATTTCATAATCAAGTAGTTTTGACATTAAAGTTTTTAAACAAAGATAAATAAAATTTGGAGGTTCCGAGGTTATTTACTTTTTTGGATAATCGTTGAACTTGAAATCATTCTTATTAGTCTTCTTGTTTATACAGGTAGTCTGAGCCTTATTCAATTTATTTTATTTTATTTCGCAATCGGATCGAGTTTAGAAATTTATTAATTACACACATGTAGCCAAACTTATTTATCTGTGCATAAATGAATACACACATGTTCCATAAAGCATACATAAGGTAGTAATGTATTAACTCAATTTATGTGCTCCACCAATCAAACATTTAAACTTCATTCAATCGCCCTTAAACTTTAATTCCACATCCCATTATGTCTTGGATACACAGCAACTGAATTTACGCCAGAAATTGAACTTAATCGAAAAACCAATTTGAATATGAAGACAAAACACTGAAAATGGCTTACTGAGTGCGAATTTGGAAAATATACTATAAAATCATACTCAAGACGTCGAAAAACATAAAATATGACTTCTCGAAAAAATTGGCTTCTTTGTCAAAGTCAATGGTCAACAATTAGACCGGTCAAAGTCATCGGTCAACGGTCTGATCAGTCAAATTCGACGGTCAACGGTTAGACCGGTCAACAATAAACGAATCCGATCATATTGACTCGGTTCAGGTTAGATTGACTAGGTTCAGACCGGGCTGAGCCAGTTTGGTCCACCTGGACTGTTCTAGAAGACTCCCTGAAGTGCGGGAGAGCCCCATGCGCACATGACGGAGCGTGGTGGCAAGGACAGGCTTGGGGAGATCAATCAATTCTTTCGAGAGCATCTACACATCATTTGCAACCAATATTTAACCAAAAATAGCCATCAACCATACCAAATAACTGAAAATAAAATCAAACTTACCCAATGACGGTCGACCAAGAAACGACGACGATGCGACGACCCACAGGTCAAGTTTTGAGCAGAAAGGGTCGAGGAACACGTTGGTGACAGCTATGAGATGAGACGGTCGCTGAATTGGCTGAAATCAAAGGAAAACAGCAGTGGGTTTGTCTTTCCCGGCGATGCTTTGAACGGTATTTCACGACGTTGTCCGATGCGAGAAGGCTTGGGTTATAGTCGCCGGTTGACGGTGAGTCAGCTGAGGGTGACAGTACGCTCCAACAATTGTCGGACGGTGCTAATTCAATGGGGGTTGCAACGACTAGGGTAAATTATTGGGGGGAATTTTTTGGTGGATTGCTCGATTGGAGGTTATTTTTCACTGACCATAAAAATTGGGATAATTTAGGGTTAAGTCCCTGAACTTCCCACAGGTTCCAACATCGAGCTGCAAACTTTTAAATATTTGTAATTTGATCATCAACTTTTCCCTTGTTACGACTTTAATTCGATACTTTAAATTAAAAAAATTTAGCCCCTAAATTCGGGTGTGACACTCACTCTTTACTCAATCATTCCAACTCAAACCCAAACCCCACACCCCCACGATCCGCTCCCTCTTTAAATGAATCGTCGAAGAAATGGGCGAAATCATGCAATTGGGTATGACCGATCATGGCGGATTCAATCTAAAATCCACGCCAACCGTTATAGAGGATTTTCACCTCGGTGACAGCATTGCCGTAAACGGAACTTGCCTGACGGTGACGAATATCAACACCCATTTGGGAGAATTCACGGTCGGGTTGGCCCCTGAAACCCTAAGGAAAACTTCGTTGAGTGAATTGGAACCCGGATCATTGGTGAATTCGGAACGGTCTATCCAGCCAACGGGTCGGATGGGAGGCCATTTCGTGCAGGGACACGTGGATGGAACAGGGGAGATAGTGGGAAAAGACGTTGAAGGAGATTCATTGTGGATCAAAGTAAAGGTGGATAAAAGCTTTTTGAAATATGTAGTGTCAAAAGGATTTATAGCCGTGGATGGAACTAGTTTGACAGTGGTGAATGTGTTTGACGAGGAGCTTTGTTTTAATTTCATGTTAGTAGCTTATACCCAGCAGAAAGTGGTGATTCCTTCAGGTGAACTTGGAGATGGATATTCTTGGCAAGTATGTTGAGAGGCTTCTCACCACTGGTTTTGTTGATTCCATCAAAGGCTCGTGATTTGCAGAAAATTATAAAATAAAAAAAGGCTGCTTAATTCATGTTTCTCTCATGTTGTTTTTACACTGCATGTTGAATCCGTGGTACTTTAAGTTAGTTTCACAGTGTCGAATCTGTTGGTATCAATGAATTCATTATGAGAACATGTTAACCATGGAGATTGTATGTAATTCTGTGTTGAATAGGCATTGTTATTATCATCTAATGTAGTCCATTGCAGCCGGGGCGGATCCACAACTTCACAAGTATCCATCTTGAAATTCGAATTTTCTTCGACTAGTTCCTTATTTTATTGTACCAAATTGAATTTTTTTTCCAAAAAAATTATGTTGTTAGCATGTGTGTCTATCCTTAAAAAAGTATCCGCCCAATTTCAATGTATTGTTTGCTTGTCATTTTTCTCCAATGTGTGATATGTACCCCCGACCTCAAAATTATTTTTGAATCTACTAGCTGTAATTTCAATGCTATTGTTTGCTTGTCATTTTTCTTCAATGTGTCGTATGTATATAACTTCAAAAATATTTTTGAATCTGCTACCAACTGAAGCCGCAATTTCAGTGCTATTGCTTGGTTGACATTTTTGTCCGGTGTGTCATATGTGGCCAACTGCTGGATTGTAGTGTGTTCATTTATTAATTAGTCAGTTAGAGGCTGTTGCTTTCTATGAAGTATTTGTGTCCAACTTATATGTTCGATACATATCCTGAAGTGAATTGTAATTCAAAGCAACAAATAATAGTATATTAACAAATGCTCTTGGGAGGAAAATCTTTCAATCCATTTCATAAGCAATAAATAGGATTCATCTTTGCATAAACTAGAAAGATAGGAAATTAAGAAAAGATGAGGAAAATAGATGAGAAGTTCAATGGAATTGCAACAATCAGCCTGCCCTTCTTCTCTCTTGGAGTCTATTTTATTCTCTCTCGCCAAGCGATCAAGTCAATGCTGACGTGGCTTCGATAACGTAATCGTCAAACTTGTGTGGAAGCTACTTTGAATGGACAGCTCTCCTCAAGCCAGCTTGCTCAATTGTACGGCCTTTCCATGCTTGTTGAGTCATTGATGCAGAATTCATAACATATTCAAGCATGGATGTAAGAGTTATTATCTTTCAAATATACGAGAAACAATTACCCCTCGTTTGGTAGGAAAATATTAGTTTTACTTTAACTAATCCTTCTAATTATTTCTTTATCCTATCGTCATTAGTTCTATGCTTCTTACCGGCTACCAAAAGCAATGAAGAAAAAAAAATCAAGTTACTTCCATTTCCTTTCTGGGGCATCATCACCATGAATTGATCTTTTTGATGAAAACAATATGCAATACATCTTTCTTAACTCGTCATGAGTAGGCTAAGTTCGTACGACTGATATTGCTCTTCTTTTTGGTCACCTAAATTGCTCTTACCTTCCATTTCCATGTTGGTCACCCCAATTGCTCTTACCTTCCATTCATTGCCTGACCTTCCAAGCATAAGAATTTTCTAATTCCAAACCCCAGAGGGATGCTTCAAATGTTTCATGTGAACAAAGGTGGTATCACTTGAATATCAGCCAACCCAGTTTTAGACTTCAGATTTTTCCTGTGAATTCAGCTAGACTTAGAGTGTTCGTGTATGTTACTTTGTCATTACCATGTATTTATATAAATTCTGATGTTTTAGTAATTTTTACTTTATAGAGATTTTGAGACTTCTGTGTAATCATGTCATAATTTCAGTGACATTTGATAGTCCGAGCAACTGAAGTGAAGCTCATATACATTTGTTCAAATCAATTTTAAAAAGTAATTATTATTATTATTGTATTATATGTGATCTATATTAATTACAGAGTTCATGAATCGAAATACCTGACTCACATCTTAATAGTAAAAAAAGATTCATGGGACTCACAAAGGACTTTTTTTTACTCGTACCAAATTCTAACCAAAAGAATGAAGCTATATCCAAGTTTTTTTTTTTTAACTTTTTCTAGCTATTATTTCAGTGTATTGGGAAATCACTTGAACAATAAGCAAGAATTTTCGAGTCTTCCAATCTCAACCCCATTGCTTTAGAAGACGATATTTGCAACGTCCAACATCGTACATAATATATTCGATATGAGCTACACAGTTGTTTCCTCCTGAAACTTTTATTCCATAGACATCAACTGAGTGCTCGACTATATCTCAGCAATGGGCTGATAACTTGTGCATTCTTCATGAAAATGGGATGCCAGAAAGCAGAAGAAAAATCAATGTTCAAAGTGCAGCAAAATACAGTGAATTCAATAAAAATTTAGGCCCGAGAATCTGGATGATGACTAACAACTCGAAAGGATAAGAGAATTGTAAGAAGAAAAATGTGATTTGTTATACCAATCGAAATCAATATTGTAGGGATTTACTATTTCAAATGGAAGATACAGCACCAAACAAAAAGGTAAAAACGATTTCAGTTGCAAGAATTTCGTACTCTTTGACAAGATGTGCGAAACGGAACTCAACCATGACTCAGACCTGCAAATGATAGTCGAGGGTAAAGGCACGGATATCAGACGGACCAGTCCCAAGCCTGCCAACAAACATTAGAAGTAAAACAAACTCATGAGAGAAATCTTCTCAAAAATCAATAATAAAAGCAATGAGCAATGATCAAAAGAGTGCTTCTCTAGGTGACATCAAACTGCAAAACAAGCCAAGTCAATAAGGTTCAATTGGAAAAACCTAAAATTGAATATTTTGACAAACACCAGAAAACAGGTTTTCCTCCCTATTTCGCATTTATGCATTCAAGATGATAAATGAAAGTTCAGAAACTAAATTTATCTTTCCTTGATGAGCTTTGCAATGGTGGCAGTTTAACAAATAAAAAACTGAAATACCTTTTGTTAATGGTACCATAGTGAAATTTTACTTTCCCAGATTTGACGTCTTCAATGTACTGCACCAACAGGTGGATATACAATTTGTTAAAATTTAAGCTGATAAGAATTGTTAAACAAATTCTAACAAGATTTAGTTTTATGGAAAGAAATAAAAAGTTCATACCAAATTCAAAGTAATAAAAATTGAAGAAAAAGCTAAAAAATCAAAAGGAATATTGTCCAGTTCGAAGAGAGAGCACTCGGATGATTCTGGTCCGGGTGAAAGCTGGGGCTTCTTCAGCTTTGCCAAGAAGATAACATAAGTCTGACCCAAAAAAAAACAAAGCAATGTAGATTCACTGACATCGCCCTTAAATGCACATGAAATAAAGCAATAAAGAATGTTTCTTCTAACTTGTCCAATATGAGGGATATCCAGTTGTGAAAAAGGCGAAATGACTTCCACTTCAGCACCTGCCTCTTCCCATGTTTCCCGGATTGCCCCTTCAGCAGCAGACTCTCCAATTTCCAGGTAACCCGCAGGAAGTGTCCTATGTTAATGCCATCCAATCAACTCAAATATTTGTAATGGCCATTAGGATAATAGAAACTAGCTACTTCAAAAGAAAAGCAAGTGCGAGTACTCCATACTTCAAATGCATAATTAGTCTCCTTTTCAAACAAATATCGAAGATGAAGAGAAAACGATATTCAATCCTTTCCTAAACCAAATCCCAATCATTCAAATACATACCAAAGACCAAAAGATGGTTCAATGTTCCGCTTGCAAAGTAGAATCTTCCTATCATGCTCAATGAGGCAACCCACAACCTAAAGGGACCAGTTTAGAAAACAGATTAAGCATAAAATTATAATCATAGAACAATCGTAATTTAAAGTCTGCAACAAAAGTACAAATTAGTAAGGGAAACGCTGAATCAGATTGGAAACTGGCATATATTCAAAGTATTATTTTCTCAACTAACCTTCCAAAATAGAAAATGATACCTACCATGACCTCAATGCAAGTGCATTATTTCAGAAAACTCTAAACACATTCCTTTCGTTGATAACTCAAAATCCTGGAAGGGACGACCTACTGAAAGTCCAGAGGATATCACACAAGTCTGAAATTATCAAGAACCTGAACCGAAATCTCCTCAAAATTAATATCAACTATGACTGGATATCCATCTGTCAAATTTGAGAAAATGGTCAATGGATTGCCACATTAGGAAGCAACCATGAAACTTGTAGATACTAAGTGCTTAATGGCTATTTTAAAATCAATGGGTGACTGGATGAACAAACAGTTACACATTCCAACTCCTTGTTCTCCCAAGAGATTTGAAGTTGTTCAAAATAATTCTGAACCTGGGGAAAGGAGATTTGTCATTGAGAGTGATGCATGCCTATGTCCTTGCTTACTCTGGTTAAGAACAAGTTGTCAGTTGATGATTTCATATGAAACAATTGTGGCATAGATGATGGAAATTATTTACATGAAGCTAGGGAGCATATTTTAACTTCTGTAGCCTGGTTCGAGCATTTGAAACTCTTGGTAGAAGGTGCTCCACCAGATGCTATTTTTGGTGACATTCCACATACTGAGTTAGAAAAATCTAAGCAACCTAAGTCAGCTAATCTTTCTGTCTTAAACAAAAAGGGATGAGTAAGAATGCAACATGCAACCATTGCTGCTGTGATGAGGGGACAATAAGATGTTGCTGAAAAATCAGATAAGATGTATCAGCTTTCTAAACCTAAAACAGAGGTTTATTGAACAAGTGTTGGATGTGAAAGAAACCAGGCCTAGAAGGGGTAATCAAGATAGAAGATTTTTATGAAATGGCTAGGGAAACAAGCTAGTGAAAGAACTTGGATTGCCGAAGAAGAGCTGAAGCGGTGAAACTTTTCTTGCCAAAGTTGACTTTCCCAAGCTGGGAAAATGACACAAGAGCTTTTAAATATTTATTATTTCAATTTTATTTATAAATTAGTAGATATATATACTGGACTTCTAACTCATTTTTCAGCCTTATTTATTTCGATTGCTTCGGTCCTCCACCCCACCCCACAGAACACACACACTCACACATCACAAAGACTTAGGCAGAAACTTTCCATTTGGCAAACAACAAGCCACATTTTAATTTGCAATAACATACCATTATTGGATTTTGATAGGCAATTTTTCCACAAAGGGTGCAAACGGCTCTTATTTTCTCTTCTCCAGCAGGTATTTCATGCTTTGCTGGGCCACCACACCACTGGCAGAACTTGATCTTAAGAACATTTCCCTGTAAAATGATAAAGAAAACAACTATGAAAAATGCCAAGAAAGAATTCATCTTTCAGTGTATCGAAGAAATTTATTTTACAATTGTCTTGTACTAAAACGAGTTATGGATGGCATCACACTTCAAGTTTCAAAAAATAATACAACTATGAAAGAGGAAATCAAATTTTCTAGCAAACTTAACTTAAAAATAAAAATAAAGAAAAATCAATGAATACTGAACAGTACAGTACGTAATATATGAATTCATTTCATTCTGTTCCCTCGAACAAAGTTAAAAACTATAAGATTCTTCTAATGTTGAATTCATAATGCTTAAACATTCTGAAAAAAAAAAGCCTGCATGACTGTCAAACAAAGTGAACTATGTTTAGCAAAATAACCATATACGGAACCCAAAAGGAAAACAAAAGAAAATTGGAAATGTTCATAACAACCGCTAAATAGCAAGACATTAGGACAATCCACAGATGAATACATAGAGGTATGCAGGTCACTTTAAACTTCCTACAAGCTGCATTGCAAGCACTATTAAAAAATAAAAATAAAAAAATCAGCGCAGCCATTTCAGGAAAACCACGTTACATTAATCAAGTTTTGGTGAATAAGACAGAAATAATCAAACATAAAGCGAGATTGATGAACGACAGTGCATATAGACAACCGGAGGGGGGGCTTATGAACTTTGTAAACAACATATCAACATAAAAAATCAACTGAAAATTAAGTCTTAACAAGAAAATGTTTCTAAAAAACAACTAAATTACAGTAAATCTAACATAGAGAACTTTATTTGTATCTATAAAGCACACAAGAGCTGTGAAAAAAAAAGTATCTTAACTTTAATGTTTAATCCTTCATCATAATGCAAAATCAAACAAAAGTTAAAGCTAAAACCATAAAAGCAAAGAATTCACAAAAAGCGTCCAAACTCAACAAGGGTATCCTAACTCAATGTGGTTCTACGAATTCAAACCCAAGGGCTGAGACAAACAAACAGCTATATGCAATTTGCTTACTTATAAAATAAAATTCTTAAACAAATTTTGCCTTGTACAAAGAATCATACAATTTTTATCATAATTTCAATTGAGATTGACCACAATATTATGATTCCAGATATGATAAAATGCAAACCCATAATCAATATTCCAGATAAAGTTGCTACAAGATAAAACCATATCAACAACGTAAGGATTTTAAACCCTAAAAACACAGTTTACTTTTTTTTTATTAAATTTTATTTATAATCACATGCGCAGCATACTACTACATAAAAGTAAATCACTGAATTAATTGCTCAATTACAAAAAAAAATCTACTTTTTCTATCATAACATGTTCAATAGACCACCCAATTCACAATTCCAAAGAAAATACTCACAGCTGAAGGAACTGCAACGGAAGTAGAAGAGGGAGAAGGGGCATCTGAGTTGGACTGGGACTGAGTCGAAAACATCTGAATCAATCTAAAAGATTGAGATTTGGGAGCTGAGTTGCAGCTTATTTTTGAAGAAATGAGAGAAAACCCATTACCAGAATGAGGCTTCTTTAGTCTTTGGGAGATAAACCCAGATGAGCAACCAATAATTTGTAAAGCTTTTATCATTACGAAGTTAAAACGATGAAAATAAAAAGGGAAATAAAGACCGGAGGAACGAAGGAAGAGGGAGGAAATTGAAAAGAGATAAGATTAAGGAATGGGATATTTTTGGTATTTCAGAGGATGATGATGATACTGAGTACGTAATCCTATCAATGGAGTACGCCTTGGTCGATGATGTTTAATGATTGGGTCAAATAATAACACTCTCTATATTACTATTTTTTTTAATTAGATGTGTATTTTATCAAACTAGGAATTATATATACATTTGTGTTTGATTGGGTTGAATACAAATTTTATCTCAACACTCTCTAAATTATTATTATTTTTAATTAGATGTGTATTTTATCAAATACAATTAGGAATTATATATAAATTTGTGTTTGATTGGGTGGAATACAAATTTTATCTCAAAAGACAATGTGCGAGTTCAATGATGGTGATGAATAGTGAAGTACAAGTAATTTGAAAGAAAGAATGTATAATTGGGAGGAGGCGCACGTTTATGAAATGCTCTCGGCACATGATAGTGGGTCTATTGTTCGTCGTTTTTTCCTACTTCTTTCGATATTCATGATTTCTCGGCTATTCTTCCTTTTTCATGTTAAATTTTGTTGTAGATTTTATATTTTCTTGAGCTTTTTCCTTAAATTCGTTTGTTGAATTGATTGGAGGAAGCTGTTTGAGGCGACTCAGAGCATGCCCTAAAGTTCTTTAGAATGGAGATTTGTGAGGGTAATGTCACTGTTAAACCGTCGACCGAGGTCCTAAATAAAGAAATTACGTGTTGAAATTTCTTGTTTGTCACTCAATTTCTTGGTCGTTCTCTCAATCTTGGCTTGCTAAAGCGAATTGTTAATTCTTTGTGGAAAAAGCTAGGTGACATTGAGGTGCGCATGGGTGAGATAATCTGTCTTTCAATTCATCAATGTTGTGGTACGAGACTGGGTTCTGAAAAATGGGCCATAACATGTGCAAAAGACGCCGATGATTATTAAAAAATGGGAGCCAAATTTACAAAAGATGGAATTTAATTTGGATCGCTTTCATGTTTGGATTCATCTCTCATAGGTTCCACTAGAGCTGTTCACTTCGAAGGGCGTCAACAACATTGTCAGTGACTAGAGGAAGCCTCTCTACATGGACAATACTATGACAACTAAGAGTCATCTTTCCTACACCAAGGTATACATAGATGTTTCTCCTGATTTTAAAATTCCTCGTAATATAAATGTTGTTCTCGGTAGTGGCTCTATTGTTTCTACTGGTATCTATGTGCCTTGGTTTTCAGCTCATTGCTTCTCATGTTGTACGTTTCTGGATTATGATAATACTTGTCTAAAAAGATAAAGGGATTAAGGGGGTTGATTTGAATCTTGAGCAAGGATCTACTTTTGTTTCTGTTCTTGAGGGGACTAAGGTACCGATTGTTGATTTATACTCATCTCCTGGTGAGACCTTAGGGACTGGTACGACTATAGACTTGCAAGATAACGTTAAACCATCTGGTCCTTCAATTGGGGAATATGTTGTTAAAGTTTATAACTCTTACGTTGGTAAGGAATGTTGTCTTGTGGATGTTGAATTGGGAAAAGAGGTTACTCCAGCATAGGTTTTGAAGAAGAAGGATCAACAACATAGTTTGGGAAAGTCATCTAAAGAGGTTGGGGCTGCTTTTAAAAACAAGTTTGATGCTTTGTTGTTGGTGGATTAGGAAAATTTTCCATTGGTTTTAGATCCTCAACCTAGGAAACCTAGGACCGTTTTTCTTAGTGTAACCAATTTACTTAATGATATGCGTGGGAAGAAACGAGAGAAGGTCGAGAAGAGTGGTGCGATGACTGGTCTGATTGGAAGTTCATCTCTTAAATCATGACTGTGTGCTTTTGAAACATAAGGGGATTCAATTCTCCCTTGAAACAAGTTGTTATCGAGAATAGGTTGAATAGTTTTAATATATATGTTTCCCACCTTTGGAGACTCGTGTGAAGGGGAAAAAAGACTGTTATTATAAATAGTTGTTTTGAAGAATGAAATTTTGTTACTAATTACTCTTGCGTTGGTAATGGTCATATATGGGTGTTGTAGAGGAAAATTCATTGTTTTAGTGTTGGTCTTGTCTCTGATTAACTTGTGTCCATTCAATGGTGCTAATATTATGATTACTGTTGTTTACGGCACTAACAATGGGGTGGTCAGAAGATCACTTTGGAATCAATTGAAGCTTGTTAATAACGGTCTTGGTTCTTCTCCTTAGATTGTCAGGGGAAACTTTACTGTTTCAATTTGTTCATCTAAGTGTTCTAATTTCAACGGGGCTAGCGCTCTCAATTTTATACGACGGATTTACGAGAATATATGGAGGACCTTGATCTTGTCGATCATTCTTTCCTTAATCCAATTCTTACGTAGTCTAATAACTAAGATGATGGTTATATTTCTAGAATGTGGAATCGTATCCTTATTAATTCTATTTGGGTTATTTCTTTGTCAGCCTCTTACGTGAAATTCATTGTTCTGGGAGAGTCGGATCATTATCCCGACGTGGTTTGGCTTGATAAGGAGAAATAAACGACCAAATCTAAATTTTTAAAATTTTAAGTTAAGCATCCAAAGTTCATTAAGATTATTAAGAATTCTTGGCTTTCCTCGACGTATGGTAGTCCTATGGAGTTTTTTTTTTCTTTAGTTGAAAAGGTTAAAAGAGAGCTCAAAGCTTTAAAAATGGAGCATTTTACGGATATTTCGTCCAAAGTTAAAGAGAAAAGGGTCCAGATTGAATAACAACGTTTACTAAATTTTAGGAATACTAGTGTTGGTGGGATTGATTTAGAGATGAGACTTAAGGGAGAGGTTTTGAAATTGGTGCAGGTTGAGCATTCTTTTTATAGACAGCATGCTAAAATTTGCTGGCATCAAGAGGGGGAGTTGAGTACCAACTTTGTTCATGATTTTGTTGTTATTAAGCAGAAAAAAGTACGATCCAAGCTCTGGTGACTGAGGAAGAATCTAAGCTGGATTCTTTTGATGATATGTCCTAAGTAATGGTTAATGTTTTCACTAACTTGATCGGCAGGGCTGATTTTGAGGTCAAAGGTTGTTTTAAGGAATTACTTGAGAAGTTGCTCCAATATTGTTACCTGTTGATGCGAGTAACCTGTTAACGGGGGCAGTGTCATCTGAAGAAGTAAAGTAGGCCATCTTTAAAGAAGGAGATGATAAAGCATTCGGATCAGAGGATTGTACTCCTTTGTTTTTTAAGGCTACCTGATCTATAGTTGGTGGTGATTTTATAGGAGCAGTTAAGCACTTCTTTGAGTCCCTGTCGCTCCTTCATGCCTTCAATTCCACTGCTTTAGTGTTAGTCCCTAAGACTCATAACGCTTGTAGGGTGCTTGACTTTTGGGTCGATTACTTTCTACACTATTGTGTACAAATTATTACTCGGATTTCGGTGGATCAGTTGGAAACAGTTTTCCCTAGTATGATCTTTACTAGTCAATTTGTCTTTTTGAAATGTAGAAATATAATGAATAATACCTTATTTGCTAGAAAATGGTTGTGGGCTATGCGCATAAATCAAATCATTTTCGCTTATGTGAGCGCTTAAAGTTGATTTGCAGAAGGCTTTTGATAGCCTTAGTTGAGACTTTATTTTGACGATTTCAGAGGCGATGAGACTGCTAGGGATATTTAGAGAGTGGATCTGGGTTTGTTTAACTATGCCTCAATTTTCCTTTGCTCTCAATGGCAACCTTGTGGGGTTTTTCAAAGGAGCCAGTGGAGTTAATCAGTGTGATCTGCTTTCTTCCTGTCTCTTTATTCTATGGATGAATGTGTTATCCAATTAACTTGATATGGTTGCTAGTCACGGTATTTTTTCCTTTAACCCTAAGTGTAAGAAAATTTGGGTCTGTTTCTGCAGCAGCATAAGAAAGTCAGATATGCTAATAATCAAAATGAAAATCAAGCTTGTACGGTTTTAGCGTGGAATACCAGAAAGAAACAACGAACCTAATTGATTAATTCGTACCATGTAAGGGAAGACATTACCAACTAACTGTGATTTGTTACCATCTCAGTTCTTTTCTTCTATTTTTTGTTTGAATTCCCTTAGATATTATACTGCCAACCCCCGTCTTCCTGGGCATTCCCCAGTTCAGAAGTTGAACTTTTGGCTGGTTGGTGTGGGTAGGAAAAGGGGTCATTTTTTAAAGTGGAATAAGTTCTTGCAGTTCGCTGGTAATCTAAAAGTTGTTTGAGAAAATTGAAAGGTGGCAGACTCAAGGAGATTATGAATCAGATTGTTTTTCTGGATCTCGATATCTAGCTTGTTTCTCATCAGTTTTCTTTCCACTTTTGCCACATGGTTTCTGTTGTAAAATTAGTGCCATACGAATTTCTAAGGTGGTTGTTGAAATGTTTCTTTCCTCTGTTGGATCATCCGTACACTTTTATGCCTTCAGATTGTTTTCTAAATACTTCATTGTTGAAGTTGACAATAACATAAGAAATAATCAGCTCACGACATGAACATAATTAGCAACTAATGCACTGACCAAAGGTTTGGAATGCTCATTTCATGCCTCGAGGAAAAGGGAATTATTATACCATAGGTTTCTTTTATTTTGAGGAGCTAGAAAATGGTTTCTTATGGTAACTCAAGTGTATCATATCCATACTTTATAGTAGCTATGCGATTACCCTTTGAGTTTTTTTTTTTTTTATCTTTCTCGGTCCACATATTATGACTTTCCCCTTGATGATCATCTTGAATGCTTTACGAATGTCTAGTGTCGGATCTAAAAATTTAAAAATTAATGTCTAAAATTTCAATATTCTTTATTTTTAAAAAAGTTATGTAAATTTCTTTATTTTTCACTCTTAACATATTAAATTAAATTTAATAATTTTTCCGAAATAATATGTATGCAGTTGCTCCCATGGAGGCTGCATGTATACTCCCCTGCGTATGCACATAAACTTTGAGAGGTTAATAATTTGCATTATGAAAAAGTCAATACATTTTTGTATTGGTATTTATATTTTAGTCATATTTAAAATTGTGCCGTGTCCTATG